CATTCATTTGATTCAAAGAAGAAGATGACTAAGAGATGCATGGAAGATGTTTTGCATCACAAATAATCTTGAACATGCAGATCTAAAGAGTGGTAAACAGGGGCAAAGAAAACTATTCACTCAACAAGCAGCCTTGGGTAGACCCTTATGTCAGGAGCATTGCTTTACTATGGAACACATTGCTACGTTGCTAATTTTGAACAGAAGATGAATGAGGCAGTGTCCCTCTGGGGACACTCTTGTGGTTTATCACTATGGAATAGTAGATATAAACATTCTAAATTAGGGGCACTCACGCTGTATTCAAAGCTCACTAGCTGTTCCTTGGGTAAGCAAAACAAAAAGTGAACTAGAATCTAAAATTTCAAGGTCAACAATGTTATTTTATGTTAGACATTTTATTTACCAATGTTTTGTTTTTGACTACATTATTCACCAAATTCTGATTTATTGAGAATAATAAATAGGAATTAAAATCAATCCTTCCTAGCAAGCAAATAAAAAAAATAGATAATATTGGATTTAACTGTATTCAGGACAGTCCTTGTTAAAGAGTCTATGCTTTTACTTTCCTGATAAACGAATACTCGAAGTGCAAACTGTGTAGAATCTGTAGGATTCTACAAAAATGCTTTAATATTTTACATATGAAACTCAATCACTATCTTTTGATACAAAGAGAATGCATTTGGTCAACAATACTTTAAAATTCATAACCTTCTCTGCACTTAATGCTACTTATTTCGTGACATGTATCTATGCCTCCAACTTTGTGTTTTAAAATTATCTACATTTATGTGGAGGCATATTTTGCCTTAATTTCCTGTGTTTCAGAATGAAAATTCTGTTTGTACAATGAAACATATCAGATGAGGAGACAGGAAAAGCAATCCCCAAAAGGTGAAACGTGCACTGTCAGAGATTCTTGCACTGAGTCCTGACTTCAACTATCATTAGCTGTGAGGTGTGCTCTTAGATAAATAATGTCATTTGCAGGAACATTCATACTTGTAGGAAATAGTTCATACATGTCTTTTTCTCTCCTCTTTTGTAACTTTAATGACTTTTCACAAAGGTCAATTTTTTTGAACTTTATACATTCAATTCAAATGGGATCTGCAGAAGGTTAGAAGCTGATGTTGTCTTATTCAATTTTAATGAATCATGGTTACTTTCTCTTTATTTCTTTTACATAGTGATTAAATCAAAGCATTTCTTTAGATGAGTAAAAGAAATGCCTATTTCAAGATAAAATAAATAATATAATAATAATCCATTTACAGAAAAAGCAGCCTTGTAATGTAAAATTTGGAATTATCATCACTCTGTATTTTAATCAAACTATCAGACATTATGCAGAATATTTATTATATGCACAGAAAGAATTTCTTGGAATGTTTTCATACCAAACATCTCATTAAACACATACACACACCTGAGTGTATGTGTTTGTTTGTGTGTGTGTATGTATTTTATATCTAACCAGGGCCTTAAATGAGACAGCCTTCGTAAACAAAGGGACATAATCTTATTTAAGGCACAGCATTTGGGCACAGGTTTTAGGTCTCTCATTCTTCCTTCTTTTTCCTTTTCAGTTATTTTTTTGACTCTAGGGTTGCTTGTGATCATCTATAAAAACTACCTTAGAAGCAGAAGATGGTATTTTCTGCAGTAAGGAAGGAAGTCCAAAAGCCACAGGGAGAGCAGGGAGTGTTGCACGGGGCGGGGAAAAATAAGAACAAAATACAATGACACATGTGTATGAAAATGCTGTGAATAAACCCATCACTTTCAATATTAACCTAAAATATTAACTTAAAATATTACCCTGTAATAATTAGATGACTAAGTGCATAAATGAGATTACTTCTTTATATATATACATATATATATATATATATAATGTTTATGTATTGTGTGTGTTTGCATTTATATGTGCATGTACACACATATGCACATACACAGTACATGTGTTTTCAGTGAGATGACAACTTGGAGTTACTTTTCTCCTTCCACCATTTGGGTTTGGGAGATGAAATTCAGGTGTTTTGTCTTAGCTACAAGCAGCCTTACTCACTGAGCTACGTAAAGACCAGATTCTGATAATTTGATAAGAGAAATGGAGTTTGTGTTTCACATTAGGAATGGAAATCATTACTTGAGAATCAAGAGACATTTAACTGCAATTCTATGACAATTTTTCTTCCGTTTCTACAATCATCTCATTAAATTTTCTTTAATTGTTATTTTAAAAAAAGAAAATTGAAGTATTCATGGAATGTAATTATGAAGGTTTTTTTTTCTTTTATTAGATCATAAAGCTATTCAAAGGAAATGCTTTGTGTCTTTCTACCTTGGAGGAAAATTGATATCCTATGTACTTAATTTTTAAGTTTTTATCATTGCAAAGCAAACCAATACAAGAGCGAATAATAGGTGTTTTTTTAATAATCCCCGAAAGTATGCCGCCAATGTAATAATGTGATATTTTTCATATTTAATATAAGAAAAAATTATTTTTATCTAAAGATTGCACAGTGCATAGGATGGGAGAATATCAGGTAAACACACATTATAAGTCACACCTTATATCTGATCAAATTACATACGTTCATCTGCAAAGAAAATATTGAAAAGCTGTGTGGTTTCCATTGTCTTTTACTCAGAGACTCTTCTCTCTGTTGTTCTCACCACAAAGTGTATCATATTATTTCTGGTTTTAGCCACAAAATGTTGTCACATAAAATTTCATCACAAAATGAATAATTGCTACTTTCCTATAATTTTCATACTCGTGTGTTAAAGACCTTCTGATATGCTTTCTTTAATTATAGAAGTTTATTGTCTGGGGCTGGAGAGATGGCTCAGCAGTCAAGAACACTGGCTGTTCTTACAGAAGACCCAGGTTCCAATCCCACGACCCACATGGCAGCAAACAACTGTCTGTAATTCCAGTTAGTTTCAGGGGATCCCATGCCCTCTTCTGACCTCCTCGGGCATTGCACAAGGGTGCACTTACCTACATGCAGGCAATACACACATATAGTTTAAAAATAATAATGAATAAAACATTTTTAAAAATAGACATTTATTGTCTTCCATTCTGTGTCATATAATTGGAAGATGTTCTTGTGCATTGACAACACAGGTTTCAGTCACATCCAAGAATCCACACAAATGCCATCTTAATCTTATTTTGTCTCTACAGTATTATATGTCACAGTTAGCATCTTACACAACATGGTATATTACCAATTGTGGAAATTTTTTTCAACCATCTCTTCTCTTTACATATTTAAATGTATCAAAATAAAAGTTTGAGGGTTCATTAGTGTAGTCTTAAAGTTCTCATATTTTTCAAAGTTCTTGGGTGTAACATGTATTAACTTGTTACATAAAAGTATCTTACTTATAAAATTTTTCCCAAGGAAAGATAAACTTGTATTAAGGAAACTCATTAAAACTTCTTGATTTATTTTGCTCTTAATTTTTATATGTTTATACTTGATTACTGTATTTGTATTATTTTCTGTCCCCCCTATTTCCCCTCCAACTCCCAGAATGTTTTCCTCACACACATTTTCTCTCAATTTCTTGTCTTCTTCTTTGATTTTTTTTGTTACATATACTTACATATAGGTCATGACAGAAATAAAGAAGTAAACCAAAATGAGAACACAGAGTTAAATTGTATTCATGACTGATAAAGAATAATAGAAAATAGTTGTTACGCGTTACATTTTTAAAAACATGTTCTTCCTTTATTCATCTTTTTAGATATAAAGAAAGAAGTTGAGTTCCTGTCCAGTAGGATGCATGCATACATGTGTAAGGAAAAAAGAAAACTTTTCAGATAACTTAGTGTAAAGAGTGATTTTTTTAGAAACTAATTTTTCAAAGTTTTATTATCATTCTTTTCTTATTATAAAAGGATTTTACAGATGCATATGTATAATGTATTTTGATCAAATCCACTGTCCCCCCATTATATGCTCTCCAGTTCCTCCCCTATCCCTCCAGCCACATTTTAAAAATACATAAGGACATCATCTTTGAGATCTATATTCAGGAAGCATAAACTCCCTGAATAACGAAATATTCTTAAAAATACAAAGACATTTTGGCATTGTATATATCCAGAAATTATTTCACAAATATTAAATTACTTTCCCAAATGGACTATTTTGTATACATTAGGTCATGATATAAAAGGATTGTATAAATGTACTTACAGGCTGCCTTTTTTCTTCAAGTAAAGACAATTCCAACTGTGCTATTATAATTTTCTTAACCATCTGGCCAGTATTGATAAATTATTATAACAATTTAAGTGTTTTTATCTGTAGTTGTAAGGAATAAAAAGTTCTATACATGAATCTAATGATGTTTGCATTTTTTATTTTTTTCAGTTAGTATGCATAGTATACTTGACATGTATATATTGTCATAGATCAAACATTCATTATTAAATATCACAATATAAGTGTGATTACATTAGGGATAAAAATTAAACATTTATTTTCAATATATGTGTCCATTGTATGGAAATAAAAATTTCTACAATTTTAATGTTATTTTGTTTCTCATATCTATAATAATACATCTGCATCTTTCCATGTATCTGTCTGTCAAGGTTCTAATACTTTTAAACTACTGAAATATTGAGCTGAATTTTGTTTCAAGCTAAGTATTAGATACAGGAGCATGTCTCCAAATAAGCTGGATGACTATAATGAGAAACGTTGGCAGCTCACTTCCCAGCTGGCAAATGAAAAATTTCAGGGGGAATGAACTATATGCATATATGTATGTATGCGTGTATGTTTTACTATGTATATTTATATGTATATATGTATCATTAATGTAAAGATGAATTTATTTTCAGATATTTTATTGGAAACATTTACTATAGTTCAAAAAATAAAAATCATTCCGATGATACTTGAAATCTATTCAAAAGCTTCTGTCTTTATCTAGAGTAGGTTTTCTGAGAAACTTGGATGGAGAGACACAACCTCACAGTGGTGACAGAATTCATCCTGATGGGCATCACTGACCACCCTGAGCTGCAGGCCCCATTATTTGGATTGTTCCTCATTGTCTATCTGATCTCACTGGTGGGCAACTTGGGAATGATCATCCTCACGATGATAGATTCAAGGCTGCAATCACCCATGTACTTTTTTCTCAAACACCTGGCTATTACAGATCTTTGTTATTCAACAGCTGTGGGACCCAAAATGTTATCAAGTTTTGTTGTAGATAAAAACACAATATCTTTCTATTTTTGTGCTGTACAGTTGAGTTTCTTTATTGTATTCATTGTTAGTGAATTTTTTATTCTGTCTGCGATGTCCTATGACCGCTATGTGGCCATCTGTAAACCACTCCTCTACACTGTCTTCATGTCACAAAGAGTGTGTTGGGCGCTAGTCACCATTCCCTATCTCTATGGCATATTTGTGTCTCTTCTCCTTACCATAAAGATTTTCTCTTTGTCCTTCTGTGGCTACAATGTCATCAGTCATTTCTACTGTGACGGTCTCCCCTTGTTATCTTTGGCTTGTTCAAATACATATGAAATCGAAGTGATAACTATAATTTTATCTGTTTTTAATTTGATGTCCTCTCTCCTGATTGTCCTTGTGTCCTACCTGCTCATCCTCATCGCCATTCTCAGAATGAACTCTGCTGAGGGCAGGCGCAAGGCTTTCTCCACCTGTGGGTCCCACCTCACAGTGGTCATCATCTTCTATGGGACTTTGATATTTATGTATGTGCAGCCAAAATCTAGTCACTCCTTTGACACAGATAAAGTGGTTTCTGTCTTTTATACTCTGATTATCCCCATGTTGAATCCCTTGATCTATAGCTTGAGGAACAAAGATGTGAAATGTGCCCTTAGAAAGACAAGAGAAAAATTATGGAGTATCTTCTCCTAGAGGTCAAATGTTATTAAAGATGACCATAATTCACAGCCATTGAGTTGCTAAATAGTTGTAAAGACAAGTATCAATGAAGGTAACTGTAGAGAACACCCTCTTCTTTGAAGCAGAGATGGATTGTAAAGGTAGCAATTGGAGAAATGTCTTAGCATAGAAAAAATGTTTTAGAGTATAAAGACAAAACTAAAGATGTCAGAGTGTTGAATGCTGCAAGTGAGTGAAAACAATATTTGTAAGGATTCCAATTGCTATCATGTTTTGAATATTGCAATACATTGTCTAGTGTCTATGTGTGTCTGGGCTTACTTACTGTGCAAATTCATTCTACAATTTGTATTTACACATCTATGATTTGTGTTTAAATCAAATTTGATTGCCATGTCAGTAGGTGAAGTACATGGCTTGGATATTAATGTCACAGTCACATTAATGTGTTCAAGTATCACTATTCCACAAGTATCTTATGCCCCAATCTCACATCACAGCTTTTACTTTTGTATATGATTCCAATAATGCTTATTATCTAAATGCATTTCATGACTTAATAGCTCACAGTTTCAATGAATGTAATTTAATCTTATTCAGAAGACATACACACACATAAATGCACACACATAAACAAATATAAATGTAATTTTGAGATTTCCATGGAAGTTTGTTATATTTTACTGTCTGGCACTATAGAAGGAGCCAGGGCCTTAGCATGGTTGGCAAGCACTCTACCACAGAGCCACTTCTCTAGTGCTGCAAACCGCATATCACATGCAAGATTAACATAGACAATGAGGAGATATCAGTAAAGTCATTCTGCTGCTTACAAAAATAACAGATATCATAGGAAACTGTGAAATTTTTAAAAGCATTAAATTAATTAAACAAGAGAATACATTCCGTATTAATTAGTGAGCACTGTCCAGATCCAAAAGCATCAACCATTTAGAAAAAAAATTGTGATAGAAGATATTAAGTTGTATAAAATACAGTTTGGATTAAAATATACAATGTATTTTGGTTGTCCATGAATGTATTTTTAGTCACCAGTACTTATGACAGACACGTGCTAAGTAGGCATCATCTCTAATAAAGGAAAGAACTTGATAGGACAGATACAATTTATTTGTAGGAGGCAAATAAGTTGTATGAGCACAACATAAAATTATGAACTTAAAAAAGCTGCACAAATAAGACAAATAAACATGTAAAATTATATGCAAGCTGATGGAAAAATAGCTTACTGAGGTAAATCCACTTGGCATGATGTTAACTATTTGAAGAGGAATAACTTAGTGAAAATTATTAGATTTATAATCTTGTGCAAGCAGCCACTCTGTTCAGTTTTAAAATCATTAAAAGACCCTACTTCCACTTCCTTTGGTATCAAGAAATCATCCTTCCATCCCTATGCATTTTTCTATTCTGGATTTTTTTTTTGCTTGAAGCATTCAAGGTAGAGGTGAAATTAGCTTCCTCAGTGCTTTTAGTTACTGTAATGTACTCAAAATCCTTGCCCGTTACACCATATTTTAGAATTTCATCCCTACTTGAAACTGGTTTTTCTGTGTTTAATATGAGAAACTTCTTAATTGACAATGGGCTTAGCTTTTATTACAGTGGTCCAGGTATGTCACTCTTCATGATGGAGACTTCAGGCTGTTTACTGGCAACATTCCATTTGGCATAACTATGTTCTTAGCAACTGCTCTTCCACATTTTCCTTTGGGAAGACCTAATTCCTTTCCTTTTTGTTATATTCACGTTTTGGGGCTAGAATATTTTGTATTTCTAATTCAATAGGATTCACTCAACATTTGCCTTCTGTGTCTGGTTTAGTTCATTTACAATGATGTTCAGAAAGTTTATTAAAGATATGACACATTTCGATCTAATTCAGCTTTTGTTATGTAACCTTTATAATGTTAATAGCATATTTTTATCTATAGATGGATATTTTAGTATTTTTCACATTTTATCCAGTATCCAGACTTTAGTAAACATGCCAATACTAATATGGCTCTAAGATCCTAATAGCAATAATTTTAGATAGATGCATATATGTGAGATTTTTGGATTGTAAAATAGAATAATCAATCAATAAATAATAATCAATCAATAAACTCATAGTTGAATAACAATCATCCCTGAAGATTACTTTATTATCTCCAGACAATGAATCTCATTAGGCTCACAAATAATTTAGTCATAATCACCAAATTACTTGGAAGATCCTATGGGAGAGTTTCCACAGTTTCACCAAATGCATAAGTTGATCTACAAAACTACCTCTTAAGAATAACACTGGGAAATCAAGACAGTAGTTTCATTGCAGGTAACAGAGATTGAGAACACAGGCCCAGAGATGCCCACCTTTTGTTGCCACCTTGCTGCTGATATGTGGCTCTTTCTGATTCCATTTCTGTTCTTTCTAGTACTCTGGAATTTTTGCAGTAATATTTCCCTTTCATTTTTTCTTCATGTTAACATGGTAACATTTTCATGTGAGAGAATAAATGCTCCTAATTATCTTTGAAAAATTACACAGAAGTATTTTATAGCAAAATTGTTAGTTGTTTATATCTTTGACTAACTGAATCAGATAATATTCCTTTATCTTTTCCCAAATCACATATAAGAGATGTAAGTTTGTATATGTTAAAGAGTTTGGATGAATTACTTGCCAAAAGTAATATTATATACACTGTACTAAAATGTATTATGTATGTACATATATAATTATATGCAAATAAACATAATTTAATGAGATGGCATCCAATAGGAGGTAAATGTAAATAAAGGTCTTGTTTTTTTTAATGATAGACTTTTTAAGGACTTACATTTCTTGTTCTTACCTTTTTCTAATTTTCCAGGTTTTATTTATTCATTCATTTTTCCCCCTCGAGAATCTCTAAAAGTGCTATCCAGGTATTTTGTGAATAAATATGCAGGTATGATTAATTTCTAATGCAATAACTAAAGAAATGGAATTTTCAACTCAGTGTATGCAAAGCATGATTTGAATCTCAGGAAATTTCATCCAGTTTCATGGTAGTAACAAAAATGTTTTTCATTTTGTAGTAAGACCTGGCTAATATTTTCTAAGAGTTTTGAAAATCAGCCTTCCAGTATTTACAAAGGTAGTAACTCTGAAAACTGTATCAGTTTCCTACCCTTGAGTCTTCAAGCTATAGACAGGAAGCAGTTTTAGCTGTCCTTTCTTTTATGAAAACTTCCAATCATCCTACGCAGTTTATTTTTGTTTTCATCATTGCAAACTAAATAAATAAAGGTGGAAATAAAATTTATAGGGTTTCTTTTTGAGTTTCTTGAAGTCATTTCTCTAATGTTTTATACTGTTATTTTTTTATATGGAAGATGTCTTGAGAGGAAATGGCATTATGCAGCCATAAATTAGAAGCAACATTTAAGTGAATAGAGTGCAAATTAATTGTGATCCTCTGTACACGGAATGTTGCAAAGCTGGGTGAGTTCATTGTTTGTTTAAAGTCAACTCAGAATATACCATTTCCATGTTCTCACTAGGAAGTGTTTTGTTTATGTTTATTTTCTTAATTGTTCAACACTTGTGCTTAACTCTTCAAAAAAATTAATAGTTTATACTATTCTACATTTTAAATCTATGGTATGTCTTCACATGCACTATCTTCTACATCAGCTTTGGAAAACAGTTGCAGATTTAACATGCAGGAACACTTCAAATTATATAACTTGTGAAAATGAAACTTTTATTCTAATTTGTCTCCATAGTGCTATGTACCATAGTAAGATATTTGTAGAGCACGCTGTACTAATACTTATTACAAAAATTACAAACGTCTTTCCCCTTTATCCAAAGAAAATTGAGTCTTAATTATTGGCAGTGGTAACTACATCTCTGGCTAATTTGCTGACATTCTATGTCTGTCTTTATGTATAATGTAGACCTGATTTGTAGCAGAAAGTTAGATCATGAGAATTATACTGAAAAATATTTTAGAGGAAAATTTATATGACAAATATAGTTATATCAAGGAGACATATATTTATTTAATTTGCTATAAAGTAGCCAAGTATGATTCAAAAGAAAGCACACTGTTCAGTGCTATTCTTGGTATGGTGGTGGTGGAGATTGAGATATTTCCTGTGGATGACAAACTTCTTGACCTGTTTTTCATCTGTTCATCATTTCAGATCAGAAAAGAGCTCAGTCCTGTTCAGTGGATTCAGCGTAATACACATAAGTAAATACAACTGCTCTTCCGTAAGTTTATGTGTCATTAAAAATTTTCAAAACATACAAGCGTATGATTTTAGAACTATTTTAAGGGTGATAGCTACACTATAGCTTCCAGTTTCTCCTTCATTCTTACCCCAATTCCTGCAAAGCCATGATGTTTTCAAATATGAAAGAGTTTTACATGAAGTATTTCCCAAATTCAACTTTTCACTTTGTTTCTTCATTTAAAACTACTAGTTTGATCTGCTGTAGTATTTTAATCATGTATCTGTCAATATCTTTCAAGAGTTAACAGTGTCAGTTCCCCTGTCTGTAGATGTCAGGGTACTGTAGGTCTGTGTTTCATAGTAGAATACACACACTTTTTGAAAATTTTTCATTAGATAATCTTCTATTATAATTAGCATATATATTTTCCAAATTACTAATGTAGCCATTAAAATTACTATATGTTTATATCCAAAAAAATGAACAGAAAATTCAATTAAGTACATCCAGTGGATGGATATTTACCCCCAAATCTGAAAAACCAAAATATTTTTAGGCATTGAATGATGTTATCTTGTGAATAATGCAGAGCTACTTAAAACCATTGATGCATCGCTACCTCCAGGTCTTTTTAAGTACATATGTGGCAGTGCATTACACAAATAATGTGTGTGTGTGTGTATGTGTGTGTATGATGAAAATTTTAAATATTCTAAATTTAAAAGATTGATGGCATGCTATCTATAATAGTTTGTTTAAAAAATTCTCCAAATAATAATATTTGAAATATTCTGACTATGCTGATGTCTCTATTCAGAATAGATTTTTTTGATCAACCTGAATGGAAAAACACAACCTCACAGTGGTGACAGAATTCATCCTGATGGGCATCACTGACCGTCCTGAGCTGCAGGCCCCATTATTTGGGCTGTTCCTCATCATCTATTTGATCTCAGGGGTGGGCAACTTAGGAATGATCATTCTCACTAATGTGGACTCCAGGCTCCAATCACCAATGTACTTTTTTCTCAGACACCTAGCTATAACCGACCTAGGTTACTCTACAGCTGTAGGACCCAAAATGTTAGTAAATTTTGTTGTAGATCAAAATGTAATATCTTTTTATCTGTGTGCTACACAGCTAGCTTTCTTTCTTCTGTTTATTGCTTGTGAACTTTTTATTCTGTCTGCAATGTCCTATGACCGCTATGTGGCCATCTGTAACCCTCTGCTCTACACTGTCATCATGTCACAAAGGGTATGCTGGGTACTAGTGGCAATATCTTATCTTTACTGCACATTTGTGTCTCTTCTACTTACTATAAAGATTTTCACGTTGTCCTTCTGTGGCTACAATGTCATCAGTCACTTCTACTGTGACAGTCTCCCTTTGTTAATGTTGGTCTGCTCAAATACTCAGGAAATTGAAGTGATAATGTTAGTCTTTGCAGCTTTTAATTTGATGTCCTCTCTCCTGGTTGTTCTTGTGTCCTACATGCTCATCCTCATAGCCATTCTCAGGATGAACTCTGCTGAGGGAAGGCGCAAGGCTTTCTCCACCTGTGGGTCCCACCTCACAGTGGTCACAATCTTCTATGGGACTTTGATATTTATGTATGTGCAGCCGAAATCCAGTCACTCCTTTGACACTGAGAAAGTGGCTTCCATCTTTTATACTCTGATTATCCCCATGTTGAATCCCTTGATTTATAGTCTGAGGAACAAAGATGTAAAATATGCCCTTCAGAAGACAAGGGAAAAAATAAGCGGTGTCTTCTCTTGAAATTCACATAGTATTTGATTTATTCGAACAAGGTTTAAAGTGAACTATTTCTGCTCTTCTGCAGAATGTGGAGTAAACAAAAATGACTCAAGAAATATTTAAACGCCAGCTTTCTTCATAGTAGTCAAATCTCCAATTGCTGTGTAAGTATTAGTGAAGAAAGTAGTAGAGGTCATCCCCTTTTTTCAAAGGACAAATGATCTATGTACATTATAAATGAAGAAGAGTGATCACACAGAAGAATATATTTGAGTAAAAAGTCCTCGAGAGTTGGTAGCTGAGCCTCGTGATGTGTGGGAGTAGGAAGGTTAGGTGTGGAGCAGGATGTAGATGATGATGTCACTCTAGACTCATTCAGTAAATGTTCTAGTATCTATGTGTTTGTGCTCCTTTTAATACAAATACAGTCTCTGCATTTTAGTATGCATACATTTCTATGACCTATGTCAAAAGTAAACTTGATCATGTTGTGAGAAGACCATTGTTTTGTTTGTAAATCAGTCATGTGATCTGCTCAAATTCCCCCATTGCCAAATGGGAATCTGAAAATCCTTCTATTTCACTTCACAGTTTAACTTCCATTTATGCCCTTTACTGAGTGTATTTTGTTGTTAAATAATCCACATTTCCTTTGAGGTATTTTTCTTCTAATTCAGTGCAAAAATACTAATAAATAAAAGCATTACTTCATATTGAGGGTTTAGATTCTTCTACAAACATTTGCATGACTTTTCCTTTCAGTTATTTTTTCTTACTATCTTTGATTTTTATCTGTTTTTCAATAATTTAAATGTCATATTCTTTTTACTATTTCATGCCACGCCTGAATGTATGAAGTAATCTTATTTGTCCCTGGAGAAGAAATTACCCTGAATGTAGTCCATACAACAGTGAATAAACAATATATTGATTCTGACATATCTTCTGTGGTATCTATTTGATAAGCAAACATGTATCTCACAATTTGAAACATGCTATATTTCTAGTAGAAGTGCTGGTGATATGCACAGAAAGACACTGTCATGTATTGTGTACATACCTCTCACATAACCTCCCCAAGCCCCCAAGTTTGCATGAGTACTACCTCTTTCCTGTTCAGATCTCTCCTCATGGTCTAAGAAAATTACCTGCACCACTGATCAAATGCTAATTGCTCTTTGCAATAATAAAAGCATATACATATTATCACATGGAAATATATATTACTGAAGTTTTTTAAAATGATGTTTTTGCAGGGCTGGAGAGATGACTCAGCAGTTAAGAGCACTGACTGCTCTTGCAGAGGACCTGGGTTCGATTCCCAGCACCCACATGGTGGCTACGAACCGTCCTTAACTCCAGTTCTAGGGGAATCCGAAGCCCTCTTCT